AGAAGATAGAGAAAATATTGGAGAAAAAAAAGATCAAATAGTAAAACTTACCGATTTTTAAAAGATAGATTATCACATAATCGTAGAGAAATATTGTAAAGGGTAGCCGCATGTCTGCACGTCTGCAAAGCGATAGCCGCAGGTGCGCAGGGCGATAGCAGCAGGTCCACAGGTCCGCAGGGCGGTAGTCGCACGTCTGTAGGTCCGCAGGGCGATAGTTGTAGATCCGTAGGCCAAATGACCTGCCGCAGACCGAAAATCATCTGCCAGAGATCATAGGTCATTTAACGCATAACGCATGTCATTTTTCACAAATCGCAGGTCATCTGCCGCAGTTTTCTGATAGAGACATTTCATCAAACACCTTATGTGCATGCAAACAAATGATCAGAATATCTCAGAAAAAAATCAACGAGAAGAGTATTTGAATAGATTAGATAAACTATCAACGAGAAGAGTATTTGAAGATAGAGAAAATATTGGAGAAAAAAGAAGATGAAATAGTAAAACTTACCGATTTTTGAAAGATAGATTATCACACAATGATAGAGAAATACTGTAAAAGGTAGCTTGCATATTTAGAAAAAAAATAAATATATTATACAAAAATTATTTTTTTAAGATATTTTATAAATTTCGTTTTTGTTTTGGTACAATTCAGATGGACGACCAACCGACCCACGTAACAGATCTAACTTTACACGTCAGACGTACAGAGAGCAAAAGTATTCCGAATCAACGGTTCAGATTCACTTTCAGAATTCTCCCTCCATTTACTTTTTTCCTCTCTATTTAAATATTAAAAAAGAAACAGTGACAACATAAACGAACAACCTCATGAATGCCTCTCTAGATCTCTTCACTCGAGCTTCGATTAGCCAGAGATAAACCATGATCTCTGCTCAATCTTCTTGTTTTTTAGCTGATCTCAATGCATAAGCTCGATGAGAAATCCATGGCGAATCACAGCCCTAGAAGGTCGGACAGGTTATCTCTGTTCCGGAGATCCAAGACGCTACCGCGAGAGACAAGCTCGTACCGGAGATTTCAGATTCCGGAGAACTTTTCCGCTGGGAGAAGTTACAGCGGAGATATCGATAGCTGCGACGTGAGGAATCAGGCGGTGGCGTTGAAATCGGAGGCACTGTATGGTTGTGATGATAACGGTGGCGTGAAAGCTGTTTCCGACGGATGGGAAGATGGAGTGGTGGTGGTGGAAGAGGAGGCGAAGGCGGTGGCGAGTCAAGTTTTGGTGACTCAGTCACCGAGTCAAAGGATTACTCGGTGGTGGACCCGTTTTTCTCTCACTCATTGCGTAAGTTATTTTTCGTTTTTACCTCTTATCGGTTGATAAAATCAAATCTCCTATGAAGTCAAAGAAATGTGTTCTTTAGGTTTTGACCTTATCAGTGATTGCCTATTGTTTCTTCTTATTTGATAATGCCTTCGTTCTGTTTTTTTTTTCCGTTGAATCCGTCGACGGAGAAGTTTATGAGTAGGGACAAAAATTTCACTATTGTGCGATCTCTGATTTAGGGTTTTGCTAGCGAACGTTGTTTTGTGGTGATAAGGTCGAATTTCATTGTTTTGGCGATTAGGCGAGTCATCAAAACTGGAGTATGTGAGTGGTTTCCTTCTTTGGCTTTTGATTTTGGGCCTTCCTGATTTTGTTTTCTCTTTTGCAGCTCAAATTCTGTTTTATGTTCTCTTTAATTTATGCGATGGTTCTTCACAATAAAGTTGCAAAACTAGAGGTATGTTTATATTTCTGTTTACAACTATTGCTGGTGATTCTACGTTATTTTGTGGGTGATGATGGAATGTGGGACGAAAGGGGTTTGATGGTCTTTGTTCCTCCTGTTGAGAATCCCGTAAAAATTTATGGAATTTCGGATTGAGCGGTGTCTGTGAAGTGGGTTTGATGATAATCTAGACTGGGATTGTCAGATAGTCTTAGCCGAAATTTTTGTTGGGAAAAATTAGTGAAAGAAAAGTCATTAGTTTCCTGAGTTTTGATAATAAAAATTGCTGGAGCCTTTTGTTTTCCTTCTTCTGATGGGAAGGCATTTTGGTTTTTCCCTTTGTCGAATCTATTGGATGCTTTTCTTGGGAGTTGACTAGGCCATTGATTTATTGGAAAATGGTTTCTCTCTTAATTGTCTGTTTCTTGTTTTCAGGTAGAAAACTTTATCCTTCAAACGAAATGTAGCAACAGCGGAGTTTCTGTCCATGATAGTGATGAAATTTTACAACTTGAAGAAACTAGCAGTAGAGCTGTTGTTTTGTACACTGTGATTATCACCCTCGTCCTGCCATTTTTGTTGTATAAGCTTCTTGATGATCTCTCCAATCTAAAGAGTCTACTGAAACGAACAAAGCAGAAGAAGAAGGATGTTCCTTTGAAGAAAAGAATCGCATACTCACTGGATGTCTGTTTTTCTTTACATCCATATGCAAAGCTACTCGCCCTTCTCTTTGCAACTGTAGTTCTCATAGTGTATGGTGGCTTGGCGTTGTATGCAGTCAGCGATTGTAGCTTTGGGGAAGCCCTTTGGCTATCATGGACTTTTGTTGCAGATTCGGGAAACCATGCTGATAGGGTTGGCGTTGGGCCTAGAATAGTATCTGTGACTATAAGTGCAGGAGGCATGCTGATCTTTGCAACAATGCTTGGGCTCATTTCAGATGCCATCTCAAAGATGGTAGATTCATTGCGCAAAGGCAAAAGTGAAGTCCTTGAAAGCAACCACATACTAATTCTCGGATGGAGTGATAAATTGGTATTTCTTTTACCATCTTTATAGTATAATGTGTTATGCTACTCTTTGTTTTCATATTACTCTTGTAGATAAGTTAATATAGCTTAGAGACAATGCTTTGGTAGGGCTCTCTCTTAAAGCAGCTAGCAATAGCAAATAAAAGCATCGGTGGAGGCGTTGTAGTGGTGCTAGCGGAAAGAGACAAGGAAGAAATGGAATCCGATATTGCCAAATTGGAATTTGATTTAATGGGAACAACAGTTATATGTAGAAGTGGCAGTCCACTTATGCTTGCTGATCTCAAGAAGGTAATCTGTATTTTTTAAGTCTTTATTTGCTCTATATTGGCTGATGAAGGCATTTGACAGTGAAGCAAAGTTAAACATTTCATCTGCCAACAGGTCTCAGTTTCAAATGCACGTGCTATCATTGTGTTAGCAGCTGATGAAAATGCAGATCAGGTCATTTCTTGTTTCGGTCTCTTTACACTATGTTGTTATTGTTTCTTGTCAAATATTAATCACTTCAAGTTTATATACGCAGAGTGATGCACGTGCCTTAAGGGTTGTGCTCAGTCTTGCAGGAGTGAAAGAGGGTCTGAAGAGCCATGTCGTTGTGGAAATGTGTGATCTTGACAACGAACCCTTGGTGAAGCTTGTTGGTGGAGAGCGCATTGAAACAGTTGTTGCTCATGATGTGATTGGACGCTTAATGATTCAATGTGCTCTTCAACCTGGCCTTGCACAGGTTATCCATCCTGCAACCTTCACGCAAACTTAAAAAGCTGGTGGACTTCAGGACATGAGTTTACTTTTACAAGAAGGCTCTTATTCTCCCTTCGAGAACTAGAAATATGTCTAAATAGATGATTCATGGTGTTCTTTACCATATGCTTCACCTACTCTCTCAAACCCGGAAATTCGGTTTCTGATGGGCACTGACATAGATCTAAGGGCAGACATGTCGCATAATGTGTTCTCAACAATTGCTTTTAAATAACTACAAAACTCTTAGCTTCACCTTCTGTGGTATGATTCGAACTCCAACGATCAGGACATCTTCAAGGATAGTGTTGTAGGCCGCTCAATAAGCTTTTTTTTATTAGTCTGGGTTTGCAGTTGTGATTTAACTCATCTTAACTCTTCTTCTTTATTTTATCATTGCCAGATATGGGAAGACATCTTAGGCTTTGAGAATGCTGAATTTTACATCAAAAGGTGGCCTCAACTTGATGGTTTCTGTTTTGAAGACATCCTTGTTTCATTTCCTGAGGCAATTCCCTGTGGAATTAAGGCCGCAGCGGATGCAGGAACCATAATCCTAAATCCTAATGACGGCTATGTGTTACAAGAAGGAGATGAAATACTTGTCATAGCTGAGGATGACGACACTTATGCTCCTTGTCCCGTTCCGGAGGTCAGCTTTCTTTTCTTTTCATGTGGCGTTGTTGCAAAAAGGATTTTATTTTCGCCCAGTTGTTCTTGAGCATCCAGGTCGAAATTGTTACGTCTACATGTGATTCAAATTATAGGGTTAAGATCTTGCATTTTCACGTATTTGACAACAGATTTTCATTGTCACACTTGCATGCTTTTCTAACTCTATACTTTTCCACGTATTTGACTACAGATTTTCATTGTCACACTTGCATGCTTTTCTAACTCTATACCAATCGGTTTGTGTAATAATTCCATCTTCTGTAGGTACGGAGGAGTCACTTTCCAAAAACTCAGGACCCTCCAAAATATCCGGAGAAGATACTATTTTGTGGATGGAGGCGTGATATTGACGATATGATAAAGGTAAAACAACGGGTTTACGTTTACCAAAAAAAACAACGGGTTTAAATGAACTATGGAATGGAAGATGACCACACTTAAACCATTTTTTCTTTTGCCATATGCTTTTCGATACTATAGGTGCTAGAAGCTCTGCTGGCTCCTGGATCAGAGTTATGGATGTTTAACGAGGTCCCAGAACAGGAAAGAGAGAAAAAATTGACAGATGCAGGACTAAATATTTCCAAATTGGCGAATATAAAACTCGTGCATCGGCAAGGAAATGCAGTAATCAGACGGCATTTAGAAAATCTCCCTTTAGAAACTTTTGATTCTGTAAGTTGCATAGCGTCATCTTCTTGTTCTTTCTGGTTGATTCTGCAATATCATTTGTTAATCATTATCTGTCACTTTTTCACATTGGTGATTCCAAACTGATCAAAGTACAGATCTTGATTCTTGCAGAACAGTCGCTAGAGGACTCAATCGTTCATTCTGACTCGAGATCTCTTGCCACGCTCCTCCTTATACGAGACATACAAGTATGCACACTCTTTAGCACCTACTTATCATCATTGCAGTAACAGCATGTAACGAGATTCATTTACCTGGTCATATGCTTATCTCTCGACTGTATCGATTTAGTTAGTTAGTTGTTTCGGGCTTTTAATTTTTTTTAAACTCTGCTAAAATCTTCCATGCGCATGTCTTATTACCTGACAGTCGAAACGCCTTCCATGCAAAGATACAAAGCCAAACTCTCTAAGGATCTCTGGATTGTCCAATAGTTGTTGGATCCGAAAAATGCAGCAAGCCTCAGATAAATCAATTGTGATCAGTGAAATTCTGGATTCAAGAACAAAGAACCTGGTATCTGTTTCCAGAATCAGCGATTACGTTCTATCAAATGAGCTAGTCAGTATGGCATTGGCAATGGTCGCGGAAGATAAACAAATAAACCGTGTTCTGAAAGAGCTTTTCGCGGAAAAGGTATGCAAGACTAAGAGAGGGGGGATGGGTCAGAAATGGTGAAATTTTATTTTCTTGAAATTAAAAAGAGTACACTAATCTCGAAACCGTTTTTGCAGGGGAATGAATTGTGCGTCAAACCTGCAGAATTCTACCTATTCGACCAAGAGGAGCTGTCCTTCTTCGATATAATGATAAGGGCACGGCAAAGACAGGAAATAGTTATCGGTTATCGCCTTGCAGGAATGGAGCATGCCATAATCAATCCTCCGAAGAAATCAGAGCCTAGAAAATGGTCCCTTGATGATGTATTTGTAGTCATCGCTTCCAGTCAGTGAACGAAAGACTGTAGCTGCAGCTAGTTTCGGTAGATGCCTCGGGGTGTTGAGTACAATTGTAACGTCGCATCCGATCATCCGACTGAACCCATTGTAAACGGCAAACACGAAATCATGTACATGTACAATTGTAGCATATCAGCAATCACTGGGTTCCTAACAAATGGTAGATGCACTTTAGCAAGTCCTCGATCGAAGAGATGTTGCCTCGTTGAAGCTTGAATGTTCACTAGGTCAGTAGGTCAGCCGACGCATCTCGGCCGATATATTTTTCTTATGAGCTTCCTCAAGCCCTGCAGTATTGAGTTCAGATCTTACACGAGACGTAAGTTTTCTCTTTCCCGTATTCTTTTAAAGCAATCACCATTAGGTGTGTATAATGGGTGGCTTCGACTCGCCTGGAATTTTTCAGATTAGGCCGACCCGACCCGAAAAAACTTCGGGTCCAATTTGGAGGACCCGAGGACGGGTTTGGACTGGGCTCCGGACGGACTCCAATCAAGCTTCCGATTTTTTTTTGTTTATTAATAGAATATAATTTTTTTTCGTGACCGCAACACAACAATAAAAAATGATGTAACAAAAATTTAAGAAAAATATTTCTGAAGAACACAGAGAATCTCAGACAACCCCTGTTTCTGACACAACCCTTGACCAAAACATCTCCCTTCTCTTCTACTGAGATAAACTCACGATTGCCGACTTTATAATTGTTGGACTTGGGTTTATTTGAAAGAATCAAAACGGGTCTAGCCCGTGAGAAGCCCGGTCCATATAAAGTTTAGAAACTTTAAATCTGCAGAATATTAAGAGAATATTCTTGTTTGAATTTGA